AGGGTGTGTTTGAATCTAATTTTGAGGAGAATAGAAATTTTGGAATAGTGATTGATGTGAGAATGTGTGGTGGAAAAGTGATGAAAAGTTTTTGATTTGTGTGTAATATTATTTTATTTGAAGAATATGTGGTTGAAATGAAGAATGAGAATGAGAATGGGAATGAGAATGAGAAATTAATGGGTGCCAAACAGGGCCTAAAATTGTCATTTTAAATTGTTGAACTAAAAATTGATTAACAAGGGGGATTCGACATTCCAACAATAATTCTCACATATTTTAAACCAATTTTATTTGATTTCACTTAGTTAATAACTTGGAAATTAGCATAGATAAACTCAAATCATTTTTGCTATTCAATTAATGATATTATTAACTTTAACTAGATTAAACACGTAATTTTCGTGGATTTGACACTCTATTCATCATTTTATTACTTGATTAAGATACCATGCACTTGTGCGATTTCAAAGGGTCAATATATCCCACTGTCAAGCATGGAATCATATACATGGTCTTATTCACAAGATTATGACTATCGGGCATCACTTTAAGGAGGCAAACAACTTTCTATGGTCGTTCTAGCTAAAGGCACCTTCGGTCGGATTGAAGAAGAGAAATCATTACGATGAAGGTGGGGATGCTGGCAATTGTGAGGATTAAATCAATGAGCTTGTTAGAAGAATGAACTAGGAGGTTTCCATCAATTTTGTTTTAATAGAAAGTTAAGTTATACTGTGAACTTTCGGGAATTCTTTAAATGTAGTTAAAAAAGCACCGTGTAAATTTTATTTCTCTATAGTTTATTACCTGCTTGTTTGGGAAAGCTTAAAAAGTTACATTTATTCTAAATCATACATTTTATGGAATCCACAACTTTTATCAACTTTCGAATCACGCACTCTATCGACTTTCTATAAACACACCCCAAACAAATTGTTAATTTTAATTTGAACCCCGTTTAAGTAATGCTATTTATTAGTAGTTGTGTTCGATATCTTGAGTTTACACACAGACAATCATTCATTGAGTATGAATTATGCCGTCATCTCGACAAGTGTTTATCGTCATTACAGATAGATAGCATTTCTCGACTAGTGTTTATAGTCATTATAGCATCTATTTGCCACCATTTAAAATAAAATTCTTTATTCTTATATTTATTTTCAATCACATTCACACAATAAAATATTTTGCGCGTAAATTCAATTTTTAAAATTTTTTTATCAAACATTTTTCATATTATTATAATTCAAAACATCATATACACACGTGCTGGATTCGCCCTCCGGCTTGGAAAGGGTAAATTAGGGAAAACGAAATGTCCACGTGCTGAAGCAATCACACGAGCGAGTCAATGCTGTCAATACAGGTTGCCATTGCACTCTCTCACCGCAGCCCCTCTTCCATTTCCCCATTCGCCGTTTTGCCATTTCTGGAGAGAAATACTTGATCTCACCATCTTCACGAGAACAGCGGGCGGCGACCTGAGATCAAATCCAAATTCTTAACGAATTTGAAGAAAAAACCATGTGGAGAAGACTCTCTGTTCAGCTTCGAACTCTTGCCTCGACGCAATCGGCCCCCAATTGCACTCGAATTCTCACCGAATCTTTATCCTCTCCAGCTCCGCATCACGTCGTCAAGTCTTTGCCCATCGTCTATCGCCTATTCAGTACCGAATCTGGTACTAGCTGAACCCTAAATTTCTTGTATGTTCGACATGTGTGTGTGTGTACAGTGATTAGAAACTGCATCATCCTCTTTGTTGTGGTTATGTATGCATGCGAATGAGTAAGAGTTTTATTATATATATTATTGGGTGATGAAATGTGTTGAATAGGAAATGTGGTTAAGAGAGTTGAGGATGTAATGCCTATTGCAACTGGTCATGAGCGTGAAGAGATTGAAGCTGAGATTCAAGTGAGTTTTCGTTCGTTTTCTTTTTTATGAAGGTTTTTGAAGTTTTATTTTGTGTTATATATACAATGCTGGTTTGTATGAATAATCTGTGCTGATGTTTGTTGGGTTGCATTGCCTTAGGGAAAGGACATTCTGGAAATTGACCATCCATCCGGTCCCTTTGGCACAAAGGTAAGTGTGAAATCTTTTGTTTCATAAAGGTTCTGTGTGTAATTGATTACTAACTTGTTTTTTATGGTCACCAGTTGTCATTAGCTGATGATTAGCCATTGTTATGTAGGAATAGTACCTGGGTAATAGAAAGCTTTGATCCTACATGGAAAATGCAAGTCCCTGCATATTTTGATCAAATTGACTTCAATCCCTACTCATAAACAAATCCTGGATTTTGGATAATCTAGTAATACATACTGAATTAAGTCAATTCAACATTGCTAACTAGTCAGCACTTGGAAATGAATGTCGGTAGATTATGATCATCTATAATTCTTGAGCCATGTGGTAAATAAATGTTTCCATCATTTTCTTTTGCTTTCTTTAGTTTTCCCTCTATTTGGCCCTTTCAATATGCAACTGCATAGATAAATAATATTCACACACCTTTTGATGTTTACTGATACTTGCTTCTCTTGTGTTTTTAATTCTACTTTATCGAATTTGATTTCAAACAAAAAGTTCTGTAAACTCTTCTTAATATTTTATAGCGTGCACAAAATGTTAGATTTTTGCATTATGGAAGAAACAAATTCTGTGTTCTTTCTGCCCTTTTCTCCCTAGACAATGTTTTTAAATGTTTATGATTTGTCAAAGTTCTCTTACCCAATTCCTTGAGGATTTTTTTTGAGGATCTATAAAGTCCTTTTTCCACTAAAGATGAAATTTTTCCTAAGCTTTAGGTTGTAACTCATGATTTATTATTGGTGAATGATGGAAATCAGCTGCAACCACCGGTAAAAGGATGCAAATAACAATAAAATTGAGCATTTCCAAGCCCTTTAAGACTATTTAATGATCCTTTCCAAATGTATATGTATATGTTTTGGGCCGGTAATATACTGGGAAGGTCAAAAGGAAGGTCGAGTTTGAGGAAGTCATAGGGTTGGTCCAAACATATGAACATTGTTAGTTGAGTACTGAAAGATTGTCATTTTCAAAGAAGTTTATAACAGCTGCAGCTAGTCCAAAAAATATGGTTGTAAATCCTTTCGGGTGGAAGAAATAGAATTGAACTTTGCAGTTTATTTTGAGTTTTTGAGGTGCAAACCAACCTTCAGTCTCATTATTAGTCTGTGTGTTGAAAGCTTCCACATTTTTCCTTCATTTTTGGTATTAAAGCAATTTGCTATATCGACTACATGATCGGAAGGAGTTTTATGGGAGTTACACATGCTCAAAGTATGCTGTAGAATTATTTTTATTTATTTATTTATTATTATTAAGATAGAACTAACTGCTAAGCATTCTTCCCGTGTTTACAATAACTGTAAAAGTAAGAAGTTCACAAGACATGATGTGAGAGATGAGATTTGGTGTTCGCATTGTGGCTATTGTATTTAATCATAAATGAAGGGAAGATTCCACCCCCTAAACCACAGACACAGACACGCGCACACACACAAAAAGTAAATAAATAAAAGGCTACATTCCATTTAAATCTTCCTTTCTTCATTCTGAGCCAATTTCTCTCATATATGTAAGTCACTGATATATATATACATGGACATGATGCTTTTTCTTAATAAATTTTGACATTATAGAGGAACAAATCAGTATATATTAATTGTAGAATGACATTTAAAAATATAGAAAATATCTCATTGTCTCTTCCAACATTTTAAAAACAAATAAAAATTATTAATTAGATATGCTCAATTATGAAAATTAAAAACAATTAGTTAAAATAATTTTTTGATATTAGATATTATTTTGTAGCTAAAAATCAATTTCGCATTCATGTTAAGTTAGGGTAACTTCAGAACTTAAAAAGTTGTCAAGAATGAATGCATAATTTTATTGGTATCTATTTTTGATTACTTTTTTTCTTATGCGAGTAAGCTTTATAAAAGAGGTTTATGGAGGGGTACATGAGTGAGAAAGAAGAATTATTTTTGTAGATGAAAACGAAACAGTCGTTGAAATATTGTTGAATAAAAACAGTTGTAAATTTTGGTACGTAAATTGTTACATAATGTAATACAAATAATGTAATTTGTTGTTTTCAACTATGGGTATTTTGGTATATTTAACTAAATTAATGGAAAATTTCTAAAAAAATTATCAAAAAAGTTATTTTTTGTTACCGTAATGTAAAATATAGTACGCAAGTAAAATTTAAAGATCATAGATGTATAAAGTACACCCTATACCAAGGGTATATTTTGTAAATTTCCCAGTCTAATTTAATGGAATATTTCTAAAAAAATTATCAAAAAAGTTATTTTTTATTACCAAAATGTAAAATATAGTATGTAAGTGAAATTTAAAGATCATAGATGTATAAAGTAAGTACACCCTATTCCAAGGGTATATTTTGTAAATTTCCCAGTTTTTTTTTACCCTGTTCTTTTTGTTCTTTCCACTGTTTCAAATGCGTTGAATGTTATTTGTTCAATTATGCTTAGATACGGCGCGTTCTCTACATTATGTTTTCTTGCAGGAAGCACCTGCTGTGATCAAGTCTTACTATGACAAAAGAATTGTGGGATGCCCTGGTGATGAAGGCGGTAAGTGCTTCTCTACTATCTGCAGTTTTTCATAGTAAAGTAGTAATCAAGTCGTTCTGCTTTATAATTCGATTTCTTATTTGCCTCTGACCATTTCTTATACACCCTTAAAAATTAACAGAAGATGAGCACGATGTTGTTTGGTTCTGGCTAGAGAAAGGCAAGCCACATGAATGCCCAGTATGCTCACAGTACTTTGTGGTAAGTGCTGGATCAAACTTTACTAAATTATCCTCTGGCCATGAGATGAGCTGGAGCTGAAGCTGAAGCTGAAGCTGATGTGTAAATATGGACTATAATGTTCAGGAAATATGTGAACCTCTGGTTCATTGCTTTTATGTCGGTACAAATGATTGTAGGTCTAACTATTTATCATTCTCTCTTTGTTTGCAGTTGGAAGTGGTTGGCCCCGGTGGATCTCCTGATGGACACGGCGATGATGAGGAAGATCATCATTAATTATACACGGCAATTTTCCTACCAGAATAATCTGGTGAGATGATGAGAGAATGCCTAGTAAATTCTGTTGCTTCACGATTCGAAAGCTTTGTGCTTTGCTTGATTTTGATGGATTTGTTGTTCTTCTGGTTGCTTTTGCAACAGTTGAATATGTTGGAACTTTCTTGATAGTTTTTGGGGTTTTAAACTCAGCCCATTTATCCATTGGAAATATGGACTTTTGTCCTTTTTCAGGCATAACAAAATAATCAATGGATACATTTAGTTCATTTGTTATTAGACCTTGTGCTCAAATATGAGGACAATGTGTTTGTGTATTCTAGTTCTCCCATACCTTGATATAAAACTCGTTTGATTCGTAGAAATGTAATGACATTATGTGACAGTGGCGTAGGAAAATAGGGTAGTTGACATTGGTAATTTTGTGTACCTGCTTCTAATTGTATTTTACTTCGTGTTTTGAATTTAAGGCTGTTAAATAGGTGACTTTAGAATAAGTTCCATTCGTCCAGACTCCCGAATGTGATCAGTACCCTGTTTATCCAAATCATGTTATTATGGTATCCTAAAAAGAACTGCTCCGTGTGTGTAGATTATGGGGCATGCTAGGTTTAGAGCACGTAGTATGGCGAATTTTCTTCAAAATTCTTCTTGTCTGCTACTTTTAAGTTGTAGAATTATGTGATTTTTTATTCAATTTGACATGATGTTGGACCAAACATATTTGAGTTGTGGCGGTGGCGTCATGTCCATGTTTAAAGTGCACAAAATCATTCCACTTTATCATAGTACAACCTCTATATCAAGTTCAACATTTTTTATCTCGTTTTTCAAGTATCTGGTACCAAGTTTTGGTTGCCTTTCCACTACCGCTATTTTTTTGTCTTTCAGAATTTCCTCAAAACATTATAAGATACACTTATATAACCAATACATTACCATAACACTCTTAGACTTTCTGCCATAGTCTAGCATAGTCGATGCTTGTAGATTGGCAAAACAGAAGCCAGTTAGTGGGGACGGCCACCGGAGAACGGTGGTGATTGATTCTAATATGAAGGTGAAGCTAGATTCAGCTTGAAACTCGATGTCAGCTATTACACTATGCTAGACTGAATCGACCCACCTAAGAATATGGTTCAGACCTAGCTCGAATCGTCTTCATAATTTGTGGGTCAGATCGGCCAGCAAACCTGTCAATATTGTGGGCTAGCTGGGTAATGTTAGGACAACCCATTGATATATTTGCAAATAACATCGTTTCAATGTTTGTGAAATATAAATAAGCACTTCACAAGTAGAATTTATTAATAATTAAACATTTTTATAGTGAATATGTGGCAGGAAATTGAATTGATTCAAGGCATTTCTTTTGATGTTTACACAATTCTGTTCGTATTACTAGTTTATGTTCATGAATTGATCTTTTAATCAATTCGAGGTAAATCCCCTTCAAAATAAGTCATCAATTAACTATTCTTTATTATGTAACAATGAAGAATAACTTCCTCTACATAAACAAGTCCAAAATATTTCTCTAGATATTACTTCCAAGTGATTGCATAATCAATGCAATCAACAACAAAAATAAAGTAACAAAAGTTGACTTTTTTTTTTTCTTTTCTTTTTCAATTACATTCAGTCACGTCGTGAATTACAGACACTAACCAACCTGACATCATCAATCACCGGACCACATAGGGAACCATCGATCTTTATGTGATAGAATGTGTTCAAAAATCTAATCCTCATATGAGATGACACAGTCACGAACCTCAATTTAGTACGTTTGAACCCACCATTACCCTTGGATTCATAAGGAAATTGGCCAATAATCTTGCCAGCCAATGCCTCAACCATCATAGATCTTTCACAAGAGTTCTTGGAATCCCCTATTGAGAAGAATAGGTCGTATGTTTTTCCAGGCAAGGTTTTTACAACTTGTGCAAGTGCACTTTCTCCTCCGGCCATAAGTTCGACTGCTTGTTTGCCCTCGGGCACCATGAAATGATCGGAGTCGATGTACTTTACTGCTTTAAGAGATTCGATCATCCATCCGGGCAGGGGAGAATGGTCATCCTCAATGTTTGGTGGGATTAGGGCACCCCATGATGTGTTGGGGAATATAGGATGGGCAGGGGAGAATGGTCATCCTCAATGTTTGGTGGGATTAGGGCACCCCATGATGTGTTGGGGAATATATATGGACCCTCTTCGAAATTTCCATTTTTCAACATGTTGCCTGCAACATCATGGTTACTAAGCATTAGACTTTTATGAATAAAATTCAGATGTGTGTTGTGCATTTAGTTCTATTGGACACCATAAATAAATATATACGTTACGTGTTTCTCTTCCTTAATGATGTCTAATCTAACATTGAGGTATAAATCTGAGGTGGGCCATGTCATTAGGTCCATGTTACCTAACTTTGCAGACTTGCAACCTTCTTAGGCTCAATCATGTTACACAAACAGCTAAAAAAAAGGGAGGAACACGCGTCGACACATGATTGGATAACTTGAAAAATAAAAAAAACAATGCATAAAATATTTATCCCCAATTCTAGCAGAAGAACAGGCAAAGAAAAATAGTGCAAAAGTGCTTCATATCCTGAGCTGCTCACTGGTATATTTGAGTTTAAAGAGTAATTATTGTTGACACACTTGCTTATGTCCTTTAAACAACTTTAAAATCACTACATAGCACACTTCTAATAGTATTTAAAAATAAATTAATATCTTCGCCCCTAAATCCCGACCTCGTGTCAATCTCCACCTGTCAACTCTTAATCTTTACTAGAAAGGTATAAAGATGATTAGATTGTCGAGGCCTTTTTGCAAAGGCACCTATTCTCTCTCTCTCTCTCTATTAATTTGTATAGCAACTTTTACATCAGGTTGGAAAATCAATATAGTGAAAGTATATTAGCAAGTGTCGAGTCTACCAAAAGTAAATCAATAGTTGATTCAAATCACCTCACTAACCCTAACACTCTTTTTAACTCAAACAAGAATGCTATTCAAATTCATTTATCAAATGGATATCTGGGATGGTGTGTCATCGAAGAACATCAGAATTTTCAATCAGAAAATTTTGGAAAAATGGACATTCAAGATCTAAATCTGAACAGCCAATGTGCACCTGAGGAGATTGATTAGAGTACATCACACTTTTTTATTTAAATTAAAACATTAAGAAGGTGTTTGATTGGCTTTATTTTCCATGCAAAATATTATTTTTCAATCCAAATTCCTACTTTTCACGAAAAATATTTTTTGATTTTTTGTCACGTCATCATATTTATCTCAAAAATACGAAAAAATATTTTCTTTAGAAAGGGATAATTTTTATTTTTTATATAACTCTCTCTTTCTCATCCATCCACCAACAAAAAATGAACAAGTATAATATTTAAAATGTTGAAAACTAATAACTTCCATACAATTAAATTCTAGACAATTAAATTACTTAAAATTTATTTTCTTTCCATGCAAATTCCATGCTCGCAATCAAAAGTACCGAAGAGTTAGTGCATTTCTTTTTTGAGCCTGTGATTTTGTTCCTTTTTGGTCGGCAGTAATTCCATATCGATTTAATCCAATACCAAACAATTAGATGGCAGTTGCGCTGTTTAATTGCACGTGTTATGTATACATAAACAATTAATTTCTTATTCAGATATAGTAACATTTGCTGTAAGTTAACAAATCACAATAAAACTGTCACATAAGTTGTTATTCGTGAGGCTTTATCGTGCCATTCCACATTTATCAAATGGATATCTGGGATTGTGTGTCATCGAAGAACATCAGAATTTTCAAGCAGAAAATTTTGGAAAAATGGACATTCAAGATCTAAATCTGAACAGCCAATGTGCACCTGAGGAGATTGATTGGAGTACATCATACTTTTTTTATTTAAATTCAAACATTAAGAGGGTGTTTGATTGATTTTATTTTTCAACCCAAATTCCTACTTTTCATAAAAAATATTTTCTAATTTTTTGTCACGTGATTATATTTTTCTCAAAAATAAGAAAAAAAACTCTCTCTCTTAGGAGTGGGCAAAACCCGACCGAACCCGTCTAAACCGTCCAAACCGAACCAACACGATCGGTTTGAGTTGTTTTTTTGTTGTTTTTACACGGGTTGGGTGGGTTGGTTGTGTAGGCGGGTCAAGTTGGGTCGGATTATGAGTTAGCTCATAAAAATCGAATAAACCCGCCCAACCCAACCCGAGTATATTTATGAACTTTACAAGTGTTATGATGTTATTTGGAAACTATTAGAATAATATTATAAGATTTGGATAGAATATATTTTACCAAAAATAGTATAAGCAAATGTACATTCAACACAAAAATATTTTAATTGCCAAAAAATTTCTTGGCTTCATATAATTTAATATCAAACCATGTAACATTTCCGAGCATGAAGTGCTAAAATAATTCAGATTTTTTGTTCATTGTAACTATAGAGACCTAATATTATATAAGACACGAGTCAATTGTAAATCAGCTCAACCCGACCCACCTACTTTAGTCTTTGTTGACAAGTTGTCCCAAACCGACCAATCCAACCCAACCCGACCGATACTTGATTGGGTTGGGTTTGGTTGGATTTCAACATTTACACGGGTTGGATTTGATTAAATTATGATCAAACCATCATGTTGGGCTGGGTTTGGGTTGAGGTAAAAACCGACCCAACCCAACCCATGCCCAACCCTACTCTTTTTCTCATCTATCCACCAATAAAAAACAAACAAGTATAATATTTAACAGGTTGAAAATCAAATCAATCAAACGCAATTAATTAGAGCCCGTTTGACACTCGTTTTTTTTTTTTTTGGCAAAACTCATTCTCCTACAGTAAAGGAAGACAACATTGTCCACACTCAAACTTTGTGTCAGAATCCCAATTTAACGCACATTCCCGTTGAGAATTCCTTCCGAGTTTGCCTTCATAAAATAATTACAATTTTCCACAAATTCCCTCACTCTTTGCAACCTCACACACTATGAAAGGGCAATATCGGAAACAAACATTGAAATGGTTGGAAAGTACGAATTTCTACAGGTGGGATGGAACACTTTCTAGTGGATTTGAAAGATTTGGGGGGTGTTGTTTTTCATTTGAGAATTGATTCTCAAATCAATTCTCATTTTCAACCACACATTTTTCAATAAAATAATATTTTCCATCACATCAATAATTTTTTCTTCTTTTTCAACTACACATTTCCCATCAAATCACTATTCAAAAATCAATTCTTCTCCCAAAAATCTGTACCAAACAAGCACTTGGTACTTGGGTCCCACGTTTTTTGAAAAAGAAACTGTAGAACAAATTTTTTGCCCAAAAAAGGGTGTCAAACCGGGTTTAATAACTTCCATACAAATAAATTCTAAACAATTAAATTACTAAAATTTTATTTTATTTTCATGCAAATTCCATGCTTGCAATCAAAAGCACCGAAAAGTTAGTGCATTTCTTTTTTGAGCCTGTCGATTTTGTTCCTTTTTGGACGGCAGTAATTCCATATCGATTTAATCCAATACCAAACAATTAGATGGCAGTTGCGCTGTTTAATTGCATGTGTTATGTATACATAAACAATTAATTTCTTATTCAGATATAGTAACATTTGCAGTAAGTTAACAAATCACAATAAAACTGTCACATAAGTTGTTAATCGTGAGGCTTTATCGTGCCATTCCAGTCTTTCAGCTCAACTACAAGACCGAATTAAGTGGCCGCTAGGAATAAATAATCTACTTCCAAAGCTTCCTCAACGACATATTTTTATCTGTTTCCTTCTTCATTACCTTAGCGACTGCCATCTCAAAGTCTTCCTGAGTGACATGAACCCTCCTCTCTCTCAAAGCAAACATCCCTGCTTCAGTGCAAACAGCCTGCAAATAACCATAATTTCAGAATTTCTTCCAAGCAAAAGCACAACTTAAAATGAAAAATAAAATAAAAAATCCAACTAATGAAAAGGGCTACACTTGATTAAATACACATGTGATTTCCTAACAATTTAGCCATCGAATGAATTGATTTTTGTCACTTTCTCTGAGAGAGAGAAAAAAACCAAGTGATATAAAAGGGATGCAGATTATCATAATAAAAGGCAATGCAACTTCAGTAAATATCAGCTCGAAAAGTAGCCTCTTCCCTTTTTTAACATTTCCAATGTCTAAAACAATGTCCCAACTCGTGCTTAAAAGGTTAAATGTTTCACATTTTTCTCAATGAATAACCGGATATTTAAATATGAAAAGTTCATTTGAAACTATAGAAACACGAAAAAATGGCACAGGGAAAGTAATAGAAAATGACTTGCATGAATTTATCGTGTAGTACAAAATGTAGGGATAATATGGAGTAGAAAAGTTTTTTCATTATCATGGATTTACTATCATAATATTCCGCAAACAACTTCGTTTGTTATGCAAATTCCTACTTCTCCCATCAACATATAAGAAATATATTCTAAAATTTTGTGTGTTCTACAGAAAATCTGAGGAATTGCAACTACAAAACCAGACAAGATGACTTCTCATGTACAAACTTTTACATGTAAAAGTTTTGCTGTCAAGAAACGCATATCGGTTCAACAAGGCATGACAAAATCAAGGACTTTTTATGTGGAAAGTGACTGATATAATAGGTGTGCAAGTATCATTATGCCTTCAGCAGAAAATAACGCTTATAGTAACCTTAATTTACGGTAAACAAAATTCTTGCATACCTTAAGTTCTGCACCAGAGGCACCATTCATTTTCTCAGCAATCTTCTTGAGATCAATCCCTCGCATCAAATTCATTTTCCTGGAGTGTATTTTTAAGATGTCTTGGCGAGACTACACAAGTTTTAACCGAATTAGGCATAGGAAAGTGAAGAAACTGTAAGGAGGAAGTGGTCCAGATTTCTAATTATGATAATAATAATAAAAAATAAAAATTTGAATGCCCCAAAAAAAACATTTTGANGGATTTGGAAACTCAATCTTTCTGTCAATCCTTCCAGGCCTAAGAAGAGCTTGATCCAGAATGTCAATTCTATTGGTTGCCATCAATACCTGTATAGATCAGTCATATCATATGCAGAAAATTATCTCTTGCTTTATTTCTGAACTTTCAAAATTCCAAACCAGGATAATTTCTAACTAGATAGAAAAAGATGCAGAAGACTTATGAATCACATAAATATACAGGACATGAACACATTAACACGGAATTTTATAAAGTAGGACACTTCTATTAAAACTATAACGCACTAAGCCTTATTGTCAATAAATTTGGGGTTGGCTATATGAATCATTTTTCGCTACTTGGTTGGCCTATCGATGCATCTGCTAGAAGATCTAATGCAAGAATATCCTTTGCAACCCTGGTGGTTATGTTAATTTTAGTCTGTCTTTCCTTTTCTTACATATTCTAGTAGGCTCGCATACTGAAACTTTTTAAGTCTACTCAACACATTACTCCAACCAATTATATTGTCTTTCCCTCAATTTATGTTCCATTAGTGCCACCTCCACTTATTAGCATATATTCTCAACTCATATCTTACTCATTCTACTATGACCAGACCTCCATCTTAACATCCTAATTGCCGATGCTTTTACCCATGAACGTTGTCTTTTAATGTCCCAGCACTCAATTTCATAAAGATTAGGTGTGACAACCGTTTTATAGAACTTTCCTTTTAAACTCATAGTTACCTTGCTATCATACCCAAATAACTGTATCATTTCTCCATTTCATTCAACATTCTCAAACCTTATAGATTATGTCCTCTTCAATTCTTTCTTTGTAAATACTTGAAGTTAATAACATAGAGTCTGTTTGGTGCACATTAAAATGAGAGAATGCATTTTTTTGAAGTGAAGCGATGGGGAATATGTGGTTGAAAATGAAGGAAAAACTATTGATGTGATGGAAAATATTATTTTATTGAAGAATGTGTGGTTGAAAATGAGTAGAAGAATAAGAATGAAAAAAATAATGTGGGTCAAACAGGGGCTAAAACAACCCCCCTAAACTATTATCCATATTCCCCCCATTACTAAAAGAATATTTCACGTACTGTGTCTTAGATCTACTTGATCAAAACCTTTAAATTTCAGCATGTAAACGATTTCAATAGTAGATTTTAATAATTTAAAACCAAACTAGTTTCGTAAGATCTTCAATTTAGATGTTACTCTATGCTCAACCAAATCTTCCAATATCCACTTCAAATAATTTCTCATCAGTCTTTTATATTATCAGTACGATTAGAACTCTCATCTTGAATGCACTTTATAGGTTTAAATCTCTACTTTTCTTTTCTCTTTGCCAAGATAAGAGTTCTTCCTATTAATGGCTCCAAGTTAACTTCACAACTTCTCATATGTCTCTGCATGGGACTCCAACATCATCAACTAGTTTTACATTCAGATAATTCATAATTTAAAAGTCTCATATTTTGGTAAGCTTCTAATCCCAATTGTCATCTAAACATTCTTGTTCCAACATGTTCCGTTATTAGATAGTTTTCTACTCTTAACACTCCTAACATCTTGTTCCTCGAACACAGTTATCCATCCCATTGACATCATGTTAATATCTCCTTATACATCCAATTTTTCTTCGAAACTCTTATTTTGTTTATAACTTGGTAGTTTACACTATCTTGCTCTAATAACTCGAACCTCTTTGGTACATTAACCAAAGGGGCAAAGCCTCTGCATTTATATCATATTTTACTTTTATACTTGTTTATTTATTTTCAATAAAATTAATGCTCATAACTACAATTTAGCAAACATATCGAGGGCACAAAGAAATTGGTCATCAGTGAACAAAAGGGCATTTTAGTGCTTGTTTGGCACCTGCTTATAATTTGTTTATAATCAAGCAAACACTTTGGATCCACACATTTTGTGGGGCCCAAAAATACTCCCCATTGATCCACAACTTATTTTTATCATTTATAATTTAAACTGATTATAAACAACTCACAAACATATTTTTAATTTAGATAAAAACGGTGGGCCCATGGTATTTATGATTTAGTTAGAATTGTAACAACTAGACAAACACAGATATTTGATTTGATATAGCCCATATAGCATATCCCTTGCCATAATCCATTGTCCCACACTTCATTTTCTTCTTCCATTTCCTTCCAAATTCTACACCTCTATCTACCTTCCATCATTTTTCATATTCATCTTTTCCCCCAATTTTTATATCTTCTCCTCTCTCAACACTTAGATTCCCTTGTCGTAGCCAGAAGTGTCAACTTTTTCTAGAGCCTACATTGACTTAAATAGGCAGAGGATGCCATGGAGTTCATGGAGTTAGCGATGGTCATGTCTCAGCCACCATCTCGTGGAGTAAGGTCAAGAGGTTAACATAATAGCTTCAATTTATTACCCAAAATGCTGCACCAACTTGAAATGTGGGAATTTTCATTTATTGTGGTTTCTAATGGGCATTGAGTTCTTAGTCCTTTTGATATTATCCATTTTTTGCATAACTTCTTACCCCAATTGTTGTAACTGGTGCCATTTGTAGTATGTTATCTTATTCGTTGTATGTTATCTTATTCTGAATTTTGTTTTACTCAAATACTCTTAGAATTTACTTTTTACCCTAATCTTATATTTTATAATCTACAAAATGGGTCTTGCCATGTCCCTCCAAGTATCATGACGGTGTCCATCAAATGTCAAAATTTGGAAAAGAGAAAAAATATAGACACCTAAGACATGTCCCAATGGGTCCAAGGACAGTTAGTGTGTTGGGAAGAAATATTACACATTTAGAAGAGTATCTGTCTACCAGAAGACCTTAAATAAGTTTACAAAGAAATGCAACATACTTTGATCTTATTGGATGATTCAAATCCATCAAGCTGATTAAGAAGCTCCAGCATAGTTCGCTGAACTTCACTATCACCATTGCCACTTCCGGACTCCATGCGAGCAGATCCTATGCTATCAATTTCATCCATGAAAATGATTGATGGAGCGTGTTCCCTGTGTAACGGAAAAAATTGTTTAGACGCATATAACGATAAGAATCTAAAGTTCTCCAACCATGTAGAGGAGCGAAGGAACTAACCTGGCCATCACGAAAAGTTCTCTAACCATCCTAGAGCCTTCTCCGATGTACTTCTGAACCAATTCAGAACCCGAAACCCGGATAAAAGTGCAGTCAGTATGATGAGCCACTGCTCTTGCAAGCAGTGTTTTACCTGTACCAGGAGGCCCATAGAGCAAGACTCCCTTTACAATTTAAAGCAGTAAGGATATTATAAAGGTATTCAAAAGTTGTAGGTTACTACTACCAAATTCTAGCTGGCATTACCTTTGGCTGAGCTATTCCAAGACTCTCAAACAATTCAGGATGTTTAATTGGAAGTTCAATGACCTATAAAACATAAGATTACGGGGAATAAAATAAATATGACAATTGACGAACGTGTCGAACGGTAATAAAGGAGCTATACGGTAATAAAGGAGCTATGCACTTAAAAGGTACTAAAATGATGGCAAATATTCAAAGAAGAAGTAATTATTAAGCTTCCTAGTCATAGAACTAAGCAATGCAAGGAAAATCTATTGAAAATACTTACGATAATTAGTATAAGCATTGAAAACCCTTAAAATTTGAAGCAGAGCATTTTGGGATATAGACAAATTTAATCTAAAATGACATTATTGGTAAGTAATGACTGATTAGGAAAAAAATGGAAATAATGGATGAGCAAGAATACTACAACGTAAAGCACATAAGTTATAAGATCCTTCCAATGTAAAGCACTTTTTTCCTACTTCTAAGCTGATCTAAACATGAAATAAGTACTCACTACAGAAAATTCTCAGAGTCGGACGCTGAGAAACAGGGTGAATTGGAGAATCATATTAATATATCATTAATGTGACCATAAGAATAGTATCCCCAATACAAGACAGTCAAATAAAGAATTCCACAAGCATACCTCCTTTATCTCTTTAATTTGCTGATCCAGACCACCAATCATATCATAAGTAGAGTCAGGAACTTTTTCAACTTTCATAAGGTTCACTAAGGGATCAACTTTACTAGGCAACATCAAGTGAAGCACATAGCTATCATTACGTAAAGCAACCCTAGTCGAGGGTGCAATCTTAGTTATATCAATATTCTTGTCAACATCCACCACGTACTTCCCTTCAGGATGGACCTAGAAGCAGAATAGAACATATGAAATATCAGCAACAATCGTACAATGTGCCTGTAAGAACTAAAGTTCTCCATCGTTCCTTTTCACCAGATTTCTAACATTGTCAGGCATCAGCAAAGGAATTGCCATAATAGATAACGGGGAAAGAACAAAAGCTATAACAACATAACAAAAGGAAAATCGAAGTCTTCTGTAGCTAGTCCTCCTTCACGCACAGTTAAGAATGAGTCACAAAATCACCACCCCACCCCCAAAAATTAAATAAATAAATTAGCACCATGTAAATGTTCTTTTTTCCACTTGTAAGCCACTATCTCCTCCCACAAAAAAAAAAAGAAAGAAAGAAAGAAAAGGAGGAAGGATAATTATGTCATAGTTGCATTTGTTTCACTCTCCCACTTCAAATTCCTTGACAGTTTTTTAATTTTTACGAGTTCTTTTTAAACAGCTTAGGCTAACAAGTAGATTCGAGAAGAAAATTTTATTAATTTGTTCAACATTTTGGAATAACTTATTTCAACTTTCAGTCACATAGTTCAGCAATACTTTCTTGTGATTAATAAAAAACCAAAAAGAAAGTCAGATTAATCAACTGATTCATGAAGTGGAAATAATCTTTTTCCCTATCGCGTTTCCATTTTGTCACCAATTGCAAAGATCAGTTAATATAGAGGACGTAGCATATATGCAAATACCAATAAGTATTTAACATAATAGGTAACACGAATGCTTGCTGACAGAAGAAACAGCTACTAACCTTGACAAGGACCTTTGATTTCCCCATGACTTTGACAACTTCACCAACATATGATCCAGGCTCCTGAAGGAGCTGAAGCTCTTCCTTCAACGACCTCACTGACCATGATGTAATGTCATAAAGTACATCCGAGTCAAGTGCATACATGTAATTCAGATCAAACAACACAGAGTCCTATTGTGCATTAAAAATATTTTTTTTTTCTCTTTTTTTTTGTGGGTGGGTTGGATTGTCTTAAGCTTAACCCGTTTTACCTTTCTAAAGTGTTATGTTGATAGTCAAACAGTCAACACACAGCATTCTACTGAATTATGAACATAAAGAGCAAGTGGAAACTTATAAAAGTGCCAACAATGAAAACACAAAGTATGGAAATTGCAGGAGCAGAAATCTAGGACAGATATAAACATACTTTCAAAATTCCATAAATCATCATGAATTTGGAATAAAAATTGGAATCACAATAATTCCAGTATGAAATGGCTTGCAACTTTCCATAACCAAAATCAAGAATGCAAAACTCAATCTTCATCAGTTTCGAATTTGAAATGATTGCAGCAACATCGAGTACTTCCATAAAAACCCTACTAAGTGAATCAATAATCTTCAAAAATAAATAAATTCATATTGACCTCTCTCAAGGCTAACAAAATAAAAAAAGCCCTAGTCCGTAGCTAAAATAAAGGCCTCTTACCATTTTAATGGTTTTAAGACAGGCTATAATTAACATTACGCATTCAATTACAACTGTGTACGTGATGAATATACCATCATATAACGTATAATTGGAAAATTCTTGAGAGAGGGGGAGGTAGGAGAGACCTCGGCCATTGAGGTCATTGCGCTGGGCTTCAAGGCGCTGGAGATCGTGAGTTTTTTGGCGGTCTTGGAGCTGAAGATCCTGTATCCGTTGCTGATAGTATTGCCGAAGCCCTTCCCCACCAACGCCGGCGCCGCCTTGTTGGTGGTGGTGCGTTGCATCATCCGCCTGAAGAGTCTCTATCGCCAATGTTGCCATTCGATCGGAGAATCAGTGGGTTTCTTGTTGATCAAATTGTGGGTTTATGTTCTCGATTTTTAATACTCTCTTGATAAATAACCTGCGGAGGTATACCAACAAAAACTATCTCATAATTGCAAAGACATCCGCTATTTATAAATAATGTCATATAATAACCCCTACTAATATTGTTGTGTCTCATGTTGGCTCTCCGTATATATATAAACACCTCATCGACAAGATTTTGCTTCTTAACGAACATCTATAAATAGTGTCATGCAATAAAGTGTGAGGTCAAAATTGTCTTTTTACATTCACTTAAATATATTTTTTTGTATAAAACTATATTAACTTTGCTAATAATGAAAGACGGGAGATTAAAACCTTGTTTGAGCCTCATTTTATTAAAAATTCATTTATTCAAAACTCTTTTTCAATCATGTATTCTCTAATAAAATAATATTACAAATGAATTTAAAAAAAATTCTTTATTTTTAACCACACATTCTTTAAAAATTATCATTCAAAAATGCATTTTTTCTCTTGAAATGGGGTTCTAACAAGGGCTAAACGTCTAAAAAAGGCAAATTCTTCTAAGGTTCCAACATTTCATTTGTGATACCCTTATTCCAACCTTTGAACAATGCGTGTGATATCTCTACAGGACAAAAAACATCTATTTTGATGTTAAAATATCACTCAATGTGCACATGATATCTTATTGAATTAAAGATTGCTATTTTCTCTCTGATAATTTTAGTCAGACGTGCATGTGTCGCTAAATCGGCTTTTTAGTCATGAATTAATCTACTTGTACACATTTTCTACACCTTGGATTACACTCCCTTATGTGTCAAAAATCTGACAGTGCATTGAAAAAAGTATTGTTAAAATCAATGCACAATAACCTGCTAACTCACTAAAATGTAAACTAATATGCCAACATTTATGTACATTTATCATGATTCTTTAGTCATTTGGGGAACTGCTCGCACAGTGTTAAAAGGATAATATGGGTATACAAATGAAAAGTTGAAGAAATAAGTGCTATAAATGATAACCTGCTAACTCACTAAAATGTAAACTAATGTGTCAACATTTATGTACATTTATCATGATTCTTTAGTCATTTGGGGAACTGCTCGCACAGTGTTAAAAGGATAATATGGGTATACAAATGAAAAGTTGAAGAAATAAGTGCTATAAATGAAAAGTTTGGGGACATATTTGTCATACTTATGAAAGGTTGGGGGCTCTAAAGAAACTACCTTAAAAATGTTTATTAGCGTGCGGCGTACGCAGAAAACATAACACCCAGTCTCCAGCGGAACGCAAAGCATCCAGTCCACACTCCGGAGTCGCTAAAGCTCGTATCCGTCGGTAATTATTTCTCACACACACTCAATTTATTTATTTATTATTTTAGGAAGGCATCGAATTTTGGCTCAGAATTGATATCTGCAATAATTTTATTTAAATTGAAATGGATTTTAGGGATTTGAAGTCCGATGCTTTCCACCTAAATGAAGCCCTAACGAAGTTCTTTCGTATAAAGAACATAGAAGAAATAATCTCATAATAAAGTTATTGATTTTATAAAAAAATGTCTGCTTCAATTATATATAAATCAATCGATTTATTCCCTTCGTTTATATCTTTTCGGCAGTATTTCAACTTCTGAATCAAATTTGATTTTTATTTGCGTCAAGTATCAAAAAATCTCTTTAAAAGAAATGGTCTGCTGTAATTCTATGTATATCAATGGATATGTTCCCTAAAGTTTCTTCTTCTTTTGGGATCATATGTAAAAAGTTCAAAATTTTCAGGTGATTATTATGTCATGCCGGCTGTTTTTAAATGACATTTTATGGATATTTTAAAGTAAATACTAAATAGATTTAATTTGTCAATATGCCATTTGTGTTTCATAGTAATTTCTGTATCGTCTTCCTAAAATTTCAATTACTCTTAGTTATAAAGCAGCTGTAGGTCTGAGGAAGATCTTAGGGCTACTATGGCGAGGTTGTTGGCTAATATGATTTATAAAGGCACCGGGGCTTTTCCTGCTGCTCGGCCAACTGCAATTGTAAGATCGATTGCTTTCTTCATATACTATCTTGTTGCATTTTGCCTTTATTTCAGAATTGACCTTCTTTACTTCTGAGTAAATTATCAGAGATTGCTATCGTTTTCCTTTCCTTTCCCAACCCGAGTTAGAGCCTCTCATTTGAAGGTTGATATCTGATGCCTAGAAATGAAATGAGCTATTTAATAATTTCATAAATGAAATGATGAAAGTCGTGTCTCTAATAAATATCTGAAGAGTATAAGGTAAATGATGCTTAAAATAATTGTTGTATCGGTTGCTTGTCCTTTTGTCCTGTGGCATTGATAGTTTCTTTACTGCAAGAATTGCATTTCTAGAATTGTGATGTGGAGCTCTCTGAATGATACTATTTCAATAATTATGACTGGGACATTCGTAAAATTTTGCTTCATACCATGTCAGGCCCCTGGATCCTTCTACCCGGGGAAATTACTATTTTCAACTAGCATTCCAAGTGATCCTGATACACATGAAGATTTTAGACCCACGAGCAAGCTTGAGAGCACTGACCTCTCGTTGAAAGACATTGTTGAGCAGGTATTACATGCATTATCAAAAAATTATGTTGTATATTCTTTATGACATTAATTGATAAACCAAAGATTTTGGTAGGATATCCTTTGTAATTTCTCAGAAATTGCAGCATACTCAAAAATTTGTCTCCCCTATTAGCCATTAATATTTAATGCCTTCTTTTATTGTTTTCATTTGAAATCTTTAAGCTGTCTTGCATTATAGGCTTGTTATTATTTTTAATAATACTTGTTATATAATAATCAATGTATTCTCTTAATGTAGGACGTTAAAGAAAATCCTGTAATGATTTACATGAAAGGGGTGCCTGATCTTCCTCGATGTGGATTCAGTGCACTAGCAGTGAGAGTTTTGAAAGAATATAGTAAGTTTGCAGAAATTCACTATAATGCTTTTGTTTCTACACTGGTACCACATGAACTAAAAATAAATCTCTAAAGCAAGTGGACGATATAGTCCGTGTTCACATAGAAAGCTATTTACTTACTCCCATGTATGTGTAATATTTTAATTTTGCACGACGTTCTTAGCAATTGATATGGACTTTACAGATGTTCCTCTGAGTGCTAGAAATATATTAGAAGAACCTGAGCTGAAGAATGCTGTAAAAGGCTTCAGGTAAGTTATAAGTTATTGCTGTTTATGATGTGCTTAATTTTGAATTTTTGAATCTATTATATATTTTTAATATATTACTTAGATATCAAGCTACCCTTATGATAGTATATCTGAATATTACTCTTAAGATAGAGCACAGTGCTAACTAACCCTACGTCTGTGATGAATTGCATTTTAAGTTCGTGAATTGAGTCAATCAGTACGTTGCTTTGAGAACGAGAGGTTCATTGTGACCTTGGTGAGCCTTTTTGAAGTACCTGAGTGAGCTTCCTTACCCTTCCCTTTAACTTAAGCTCATTATGAATTTGAGACCTGTCGTTCCTTAGCATTAAGCTCAACACTCTTAAATTGACCAGGGTGGTTTACAAGAATCTACCAGTACCACCAGTTTTCTTCTTCATAATGTCCAGTCTAGCTGCTAGTTTACTGGTTCTCCAGCTGATCTGGGTTCACTAACTCTATGCTTTTGTGAATGTGCAATTCTCCTCTCCCTCAAACAAAAAATGAAAAAAATAGAGAGAGAGAGAGTTGGAAATTGATTTGTTCTACAAGAAGTGCTTATTAATCTGTGTATATTTATTGCAGCCACTGGCCTACATTCCCACAAATATTCATCGATGGTGAGTTCATTGGAGGATCAGATATCATTCTCAATATGCATCAGGTAATTTTTTTCTAGTAATACTGTTAGTCTGCCTTTCTTGGTACTTGGGAAAAATGCTCAGAAAGTCTTATGCATCATGTAGACTGGTGAATTGAAGGAAAAGTTGAAAGAGACTTCAGGAAAGATAGGAAAATCAGAATGAAGACATAATGATGAGATGAGTAGTTCTTTTTCCCCTTTCAAGTTAGCTTTTAATAATGTTTTCCTCGAACAACCAAGACAAGGCAAGTAATCTCCTTTTAGAAGGTGAAATGGTCACTTATGTCAAACTGTTGTGAAAAGAGATGTTATTGCCTATGGGTTATTTATCTTAGCAGTCTTACAATGTTGAATTGGTAGTAGGTATTGTAACTTTTTATAACAATACAATATAAATTTGGGGATATTTTGATATTTGCTTAAATTATATAAATTGCCGACAAGTTGAGTGACCTCCAATACCATATGAGTATAATTTTTTGTGTGCATAATAGAGACCCAAAAAAATACACGTCTAGTCGAAAGCAACTTCAATAGAATAATAAAATAATGTTTACATTATTGTCAGCCTTCAACTTTTGAAGCAGGTATGGAACCGTCAAAAATTTGTTAAATTTAGTAGAAAGACAATTTTTTGTGTTATATAAGAAAAACAAATATAAAAATTAAAATTAAAAAGAGAGGGAGAGAGAATAAAAACAAGAAAAAGAAGAGGTGGAAGGGGTTGCTGTTTTGACATGGCTGTGGTTGACAGTCTAACGACTCCCTAATCTAAGATGGGATAGGGGCCACGGTGTGGCTGAGCAGATGCTGGGGGACTAAGAGAGGGATATTGGATGAGAGTTCAGGGCGGAAGTGGGGATTGACCTTGTCTGTCAGAAGCATCTCTTCCAATTCTGTTGAGTCCAACCCAACACAACGTACCAAACATGGCCTAGATTGAAAAGCTCTCCCTTATTACTAGCGAGTAGCGAACTGATTTACGCTTCATTTTATGAATTGTCTCTTTGGTTGGTCAGCATTTGACAAAAATATTGCTCACCGCGCAAGAAGATAGAGGAAGACACCCAAAGAAGGCCAGAGCCTTTTAGATTGAAATACATTAATGTTAAAAACACTTAGCTAGAATCATACAGACATCCCATTTGAATCCTACAATTTAAATTGGGGGGAAAAAAAAACTATCCAAGACTTTATTTTACTGCAGATAAAAGATTTAACTTCTACAAGTTTTTGCTCTCCAATGTTAAAGTAAACTCTACAGCCCAAGTCTTGCATTTAACCAATTACAGACCTCATCCATCTCTTTAGGCACAGTATAATGACCAAGCCTGTACAATCATAAAAGATTTAGGGCATATTTAATTTCACTACTTGACAGGATTGAACACTATGAAATAGATAAAATACCCGTCATAGGATTTAAATGCAAGATTTTGAAATCCAGCTAAGCTCAGAGCATGATTCGACCTCTCTCCATGTGTATGAGGAACCACTTCATCACCTGTTAAAGGCAAAAATGAGTTCAATAAATTCATAAAAATCTAGGAGACTTCATTAGTTCTTGTACATACACACATATCAAATGACAACAAATTAAGGCTTGTTTTCATTGGGTTGGCCATATAAATTCTTTTTCGTTGCTTCATTCAGTTCATTGCTGGATCTAGTGGAAGATCCTTAACGCCTGCAACGTGCCCCTCTCTCTTCTAGTCTATTTTACTAATATATCCGCTATAATTTTCACAGCCCCTCCCAAGCCTGAAAAAAGGAAGGTTGTGGTTGGTTGATGGTTGACATAAAAGTTTGTCAGATCCTATACAATGAATCCTAATATAATCATTTTTCTGGGATGATATAGTGATGAATTAAATGGAATATGTAAAGGATTCATATAGCCAACTCTAAATTTGTTGAAACTAAAACTAGTTGTTTTTGCCGTGTGCGTGTGTACAATAATAAACAATTGGGTTATTGGATCATTATGACGTGGGCTCTTCTTGTTTAATGACTAGCAGCTTTCCTGTGAATAATAGTTCAGTTTCTCAATAAAGCGTAAGAGCTCCTAGATAAATCAAAGAATTAATGTTGAGGATGAGGATTTCTGATCCATTTTCAAGGTACATTTAAGGGTGTGTAGGAATAACAGAGACTTTTCAGGCTTATAATCTAACAAAAATATGAAGTATTCAACATCTTGGAAAGCATAATACACTTACAAAGTCCATGGCACAGCAAAATGGGAAGAGATGCAGCACGTCTTGCAGCCTCATGTGATCCTTGGATCTTGTTTCTCATGTTTCTGATAGAACATGAGTCAGAAAATGAGTCTTATCATGTATGAACATTGACGATGTGTTTGGTAAGATGAGTTGGACAATATTAGATAGTATTAAGGAAGGAACAAGAAGTTAAAATCTTGTAAATCGTACTATCCAATCTGGTGGAGATACAATATTAAAAAGAAACCGAATTAAAAATTTATTCATTAGAATGTTCAGTGCTGTTTACCGATCAACACTTGTGAGATGTTTGATAAAGTAGATTAAACAACATTGGACGGTATTAGCAAAGTATTTTGTGGTTAAAATTTTGTGTATTGTCCAATATAGTAGTGTGTACTAAATATGCATAGAGAAGCACATCCTACCTAGCACCAGGAAGCCACCCACTTAAACCAATAATTGTCCTTAGGCATACAGTGTAAGGGTTGCCATTTCCATATTTTCCCTGGGCAAAGCAAGTTGCAGAATAAAGGGCTGTGGCAGCTCCCATACTGAAGCCTCCAATACCAAGTTTAACTGTATTAGACACAGTGAACCGAGATTTAGAATAAGGATATAATCATCTTTCTAATACATCAATGGTGCTACAAAATTATAAGGTTGGGATCAATGGTGTAACCTTGCCAGCATAAAACTTTTGCAAAGTATGACGAATTTTATGTCGTTAGACATTGAACGAAATTGGCTAAATTCACAAAAAACGGAAGATGAAAAAGAAACTAAGTGGGTGTTTGGTGGAGATTAAAATTAGATTTTTAGTAGATTGTTATATAAGTTTTTGAAATGTGTGGTTGAAAAGTTGTGGGACCCATGAAATGTTTGGTTAATATTGATTGTTTGAATTTGACTTAGATTAAAATCTGATTTAACCGAAACAAACAGGCCTAAAAGTATTCTTATACTGTATGCAGTAGACTGAACTTGCTGTCATTTAGTCCTTTCTCTCTCCTACCCGTTAAAAAGAAATATTATTGTATTCATAAAGTTCAATAAGCCTTTGGATATTAGTGAACTCTGCTTAGATGGAAAAACAGCAGTATATCTTACTATCAGCAGGCTCTGTAGACAGTAAGTTTGCAATATGTGCTGCTGAAGAGTCTAAACCTTCAAAATCATCTGGACAATCTTCTGAAAGCTCACCCACATCAAACCCTGAAGTAAAACATGAAAAAGAAACCCGGTTTTAAATAGTAATTAATCAAAATCCCGACCTTAAATTTTTCCGTATACTCTTACATGCAGTGCAAGGAAATCCACCAAGTAAAGCCACGGGACGAGTAGGAGCAGTAGGACATATCCACTTTATCTGCAAATTTTATTAAATTCAACACAAAAGTTAGCAGATTGAGATTACAACAAACAATACAATAACTTGTTTACAATAAATTTAGGTCGGCTAGTTAATGGGGTGGGGGAATCTTCCCTAGAGGCTGATGGTGTAGTTATTAATAAGCTCTAATGTATTTCAAAGAAATTATCTTACGTTCGGAAGAGGGAGACTTTCCAAGAGTTGTGACCAGCTGTGGAATAAAATGCAGAAAAAATATTAGGCAATTCATTTCTTTCTTTGCCCTTTTCGACCGTTAAATAATTGCAACAGTAAGACTTAATCCACCTTGCCAAATTGCCGTAATAGTTCCGGAGCACCAAGTTCTTTCTCATCACATGTTATAATATATATATTTTTTAAATTCCGAGTAATTTTACAGGGATGAAGCTTTATCCCATCTACTGAATTTTTACAAGAATCTCAATGTAGAAATATAGCTATTTTGATTTATTATATTATATTGTACTTGTACAATGATTTTAGCTTATTTTTCTTTTTTACCAATGTCATAGCCATCTGATACAGACTACCAAACATGCAACACATGTTTAGCACATGATTAGCTGGATATGAATTATGAAGCCATTGACTTTCTTTTAGGATCAACCTTTTCTCTTCCTTTCAAAAAAGTCCATTCATTGATTACCACTTTATGACTACATACAAATCATCACAAAGAAAAGACATAAGTGAAAAAAATCAACACAGCAAGCCAGTGATAAACAAACAGTGCTAATTTAGACTTCTTTTCACTTTTTTGCCAAAGAATGATTTTGAAATTGAAGGGTTAAACCAGGGATATTATAATTTATATAATTATATACTGGTGTTGACTGCACAAGTCTTTTTTTGTCAATCTCTTCTGTTTAATACGAGATCTAGTGAAAAACATAAAGCAACAAAGGCAGAAGTACTTTATGTAGAAGTAATTAAAGACGTGCTTTCTACAAAAGTTCGGGAAAAGAAGTAACTTTGAAACATGTCTGGGAGAAGAAAAGTACTTTAGGCTTAACCAAACATGCTAGAGAAATCCTACCTGGAGCCATTATCACCAAGTCCATGAAGCCAAACTATTGTAGCCTGGTGTTTCCCTTTAGGCCTTACAACATAAGTCCTCCCAAACTCAAATGCCCTTCTACCAGTTCTACTTCCTGCAAATTTTTTTCATGAAAATCATTCTTATACTCTTATCTATCAGTTGAAGAATCTCAAAAACTCCTATGGCTTGTTTGGAACGTTAGACTGTATAGGATCAAAGGAGAAAGTAAGTTATAACTACTGTCCAATACTGATTACAAAACATGCTTCTGAATGAACACTTGACATAATCATTTAATGCTAAAAGCAAAGAGAATTGCCAACTGACCAGAGCCAATAGATGAATTTGTATAGCTCATATTAGCCACTAGAGATGGGATTGCACCTTCCAACACTTGTAAGACAGCCTAGTAATGGTAAACTGAAAATAGGTAAATGCAATGAGGACAATAGAAACTGGCGGTCCCTATTTATACTGATAAGTTAGGTTAAAAAATATATATGTGTATATGCATACATACATATATATATGTATAGAGGAGGTGGGTGAGGGCATCCATGAAAAGGAGAGGTAAAGAAGATGACAAAAAGTGGGCAATCTTTTCATAAACAGAGAGAGAGAATCAAAGGAGAATAATAACAAGGCAGCAGACCTACATTTTTTTACAGCATAGAAGAGAATAAATACTTGTGGGCAGTGGTGGCAGATAAATAAAGACCCCACAGCTGAAATTTCAAGAATATTTTCAGAAAACTGCAAGGAATATTTCAATTTGGTAGAAAGAAAAATCTTGGCCTCAATCATTTGTTTATGTATTTCTGATGATTGATGGATGCCCATTAACTTAAAAATTTTAAAATTTATGTATTCAATTTATCATCATTGTGCCACAGCATATTTCTGACACTAATGGTAATAATGTGTGTGAATAAACCAAGCTAAGAAATCTGGTGGTGCATGTTTTCTTAATGCTATAGATGTTTGTTTGTGTATATATCGTGCTTGATACAAGCATGTGTGGGCATTGAATTACGTTTGTAGCTGTGACTGTTGTTGCACTATAAACTGTTGCAGTGTAGGTCAGCTTACCTCGTGCTTGACAAAAGCACGTATATGTATATATAGGCATATCAATTTATTGGTAGCACAAAATATAGCCCCTTTTTATGGAGTCTAAAATTAGATTTTTAGTAGATTTTGATAAAAGCTGATGAAATGTGTGGTTGAAAAGTTGTAAGTCACATGAGATATGTGGTTATAATGAATTGTCTACTAAAATCTGAATTTTAAATCCTACCAAACAGGGGCATAGAATTGTTATGAGAGAGGAACAAAATAGGAAAGGCCCATGAATCTCTTTCTCTCTCTCATTCGCTTTTTCTTGCTTGCCACTTATATTTGGATATAACTCAAGTCTAACATTCATTATGAGCTTTACTTAGCAAATATCAACCCTTCAAGATTTGTTTGTTTATACTCACGAGAGACTCCCAAAGCGTTTGAAGAGTCCAAAACTTGACCTTTCAGTGCATGACATTGGGTTGCTTTCGATGCTAGTGTATGTCATGTCACTAAAATCGCGAGTGGTATGTGTTTTCAAAATGGTGTGGTTGATTGATCAAAACCCCTCTCAACGAGTGACGAATGACGAAGGGATAGCATTTTGCTAAGCTTAATGACAAATTGAAAAACTTTTAAAATTCAATGATAACTGGATAACATTTAGAAAGTTCAGTGGGATATATATATATATATATATATATATATAT